CACAGTTAAAGCAATAAACATGTATGACATCCCAGCACTCAAATACTCTTTTGGAGTTACCCATTGGACTCACAGATCTTGAGCAACTTCAAAGGAAAACAAGAACAACACTTACTAAACATAAACAAAATCATCTTAAATCTGCCATAGAAAGATTCCTTCCACGAAAAGATGGCGAACATGGCATGATTGTCATGGTTAACCTTCACTACAAAAAATCACAGACACTGTGACAGTTTTTCTACAAGAAACGAGAAACATCGTAGTTACATAATGTAGTAACTCTAGGAGACTGAAATAACACACCATTAAGCTTACACTCACATTATACAGACATTACACAACATATAAACAGCATAGACCCTATCAAGCAATCGTGGCCTAACCTCGTCTATGGTTTTGTTGACAAAACTGCCTCTAACTGCGCGTTAGATCGGGGTTGCCTCTTTGGGGAGACAGAAGGATTCATGATTGCCATACAGGATCAAGTCATAAATACTAAAAAACTACACAAAGCACATACTCAAAGATACAACACTCACAACGACACATGCAGAAAATGTCACACAATGCCAGAAACTATACAACACATTACATCTGTGTGCAAGCTCTTGGCACAGACAGATTACTTACATAGGCACAATCAAGTAGCAAATATAATATACCAAGAGATTTCAGAAAAACCCAAATTGGTAGACATCCATGAACCATGCTACAAGTATATTCCACAAACAGTATTGAAAAACAACACGCACAAAATGTACGTATCTACGACAGGGCCATTAGTAGTATACGAATGATACACTCTGGAGTATAAAAATAATTAGTATATAAATTTAATATATAGTAATGATACATAAAGGTCAAGGCGAGATATGCATTTACAGATACAGTATAGATTATATTTAATTTGTATAGGAATTTAATATAAAGTAATAATACAAATCGAATTTTAAAAAAATAAAACGATGACACAACTTTAAAATTGTGCCTTCTGCTGTACAGTCCATAGCGTGAACTAATCCCCTCTGAAGTAAGTGATGTCGACCGCATTCTTTCGTCTATCTGATAATTTTTGTTTTAAAAACGTAATACAGATTTTTTTCATCGAATTTGTTTAATTTTTCCATTATATCATCAACAATGTTACTAATATCGCGAATATAAAAAAGCAAACTGTGAAAATTTTTGGTAATATATTTCTTAACAGAATTATTTGACCTCATTCTTTAATATATTCGATCATTTGTTACTAACACCTTGATCAGATACCCAAAAAGGTAACCTCAAAGTAAGCTGTGTAGACCTGCATTCTTTAATATATCTAATAATTTTTTTTGTTTATAGAATTACGTCTTTTTTACGGACACCTTCATCACATATGGACCTTTTTTTAAACAGAACAGAAGTTTTTTTTTTCTTTATCAACGATGTTATAAATATCGCGATATATTTCTGATTTGTAGATAATACAATTAATCACTAGATTTAAAAATAATTGACTCTTATAACTATTTCTTATTTCTTTAAAATCGATATGTTACAGAATTGAATTTTCTTCTAATTCTTCTTCTTCATCGAATTTATTTAATTTTTCTAATATATCATCAACGATGTTACTAATATTCCCAACATAATAATAATATAAATACAGTAGACTCCCTATAATTACGGTCCCTATAATTACGATTCCTATAAAACTACGAAAAAGTTGTGACTGGTATCCATAAAAAACAGTAAAAAACTTCTTATAATTACTTCAAACGTCATCGGGCAGCCGAACTACTTTTCTGCTGTCCGTAGCGCCAAGCTACAGAGAGATTACTATTGTCTGTACAGTATTATATATAAATTGTATATAAATCACGTACTGTACATATAATTATATATTTAGTATATACAGGTAACCCCTGTATAACACGGTAGTTACGTTCCAAAAAATTGCCGTGTTATGCGAATCCGTGTTATACGAAACAAACAACTAATAGGAAAAGGAAGGGTTAGGTTCCAAAAATTAAAAAACATGCTAGTATATTTTCATAATTAAGATAAATATCTTCATTAAAATTTTTTAAGTGATACATATTAATATAAATTAAACAATATTTTCTTCGTCATCACTAAAAACTCTATTAATTAACCGAGAGCGTTTTCTTTTTGGCAAGTTATCCTTATCCTCTGAGCATTTTTCTGCATTATCTTCAGATCCATGCTTTACCTTTTGCAAAATGTATGTAATTTTAGATTGCTTGCTTCTAGTTAAAAGGTCTTTATAAATTTCCTTATATGGTGCTAAGCACTTATGAAGAATAAAGCAAGTATGGAATAAGGGAAAAACATTCGGCAACNATAAATTTCCTTATATGGTGCTAAGCACTTATGAAGATTAAAGCAAGTATGGAATAAGGGAGAAACATTCGGCAACATCAGAAGCAGAAGCGTCGCGATCTGGCAACATTGAAACAAGATTCGTGAAGGACCACGTGTATCGACAGATGGCGAGAAGAGAAAATTTACATACTTAAGTACTAATAGTTCACGAAAATAATAATTTTCGTGCACTATTATTTCTTAAGTATGTAAAAATTTATTACATTTCCTGTTGTACGAGGGTTTTACCCAATTCTCGAACCGTGTCAGAGTGAATCCGTGCTATAAAAGTACCGTGTTATACGGGGGTTGGTACCAATTCTCGAATCGTGTTAGAGTGAATCCGTGCTATAGAAATGCCGTGTTATACGGGGTTACCTGTATAATTATATATTACGTTAATTTATTGTAACTTTATTATAATTATACATATTTTTTGCCGCGTGGCGCCATGCTACAGAGATTTTACGCTAACTATTGTCTGTACAGTATGTAAATTAGCTACCGTAAATCTAATACAGTACTGTAATTATATACATTTTTTGTGAAAGAAACATTTCTTATTCAGCGACGATAAAAATTATTTATATTAATGATGTCTCCAAAGTTCAACGAAGTTTTCGCAAAAAAATAAGTTATCAGAAATCGGCCGTGGTTTGATGTGCTGCTTCGCGATGAAAACAAGCTTTAGCAATGGGGATGTCGAATGGTGCACACTCGGTAAGTAATTGTACAATTTTTTGTTTATAGCGTAGTTTATACTAATTATTTCCAAAAAATATATACGTATTTTGGAAATGTTGAGTCGGATTAGTCTAGAATCGATTAATTTTATGAAAGAAAATCTTTAGATCAGCCGTAGTCCGTAAACTTCACACGTGTCGGGCTGTGATTGGAAGGACTCATAAGAATTCAGATTCCTAAAGAATGGAACGTATCTATGATCTTATAGGTGGGTCGACTGTAATCAGCGCAGAGTTAAAATTTGAAAGTTGAAATTTGGAACACAGTTATGGTACGTTACGATAACACATACCAAAAATGGAATTTTTCGAAATTCCTCGCCACGAGGAAGAGGTAGGGTCATAAAGCTTAACACTTTCATCAACAATGGAAGTGTTAAGATTATATTACAGCCAATGTTACCCGTTTTCACAGAATGCAAAAATAAGTCTTTCGTTTCCAGACTAATTAGAGAATTTTTACCTGTGTCTAAAAATATGTTCCATTTCTCGAAAAAACGCAAAATTCGCATCTGCGCCTGTAAATCTTACACGCCACTTTATCTTAACACTTCCTTTGTTACTCGACGCTTCCATTGTTAACACTTCCATTGTTACACATTTTATAAGTCAACCACTTTCATCCCATATATCTCCCACACCCTTATAGCTATCTAGACGCAACCATCATAGTGCATGATGGAAGACTTAGCGCTACTACCACACACGAACACCATTCATGAGCGGTGTGAAGTTTTGGCTGCAAAGTGAAATATAGGGACAAACACGTCCATTTATATATATATAATTTAATATTTTTTAAAGAATACACAGCGATACATCATCATCTTAGTTATAAATCTTTGCAAACACTAATTTATAAATATATTATTAGACAATATAACAGCTTATGACAAATTTCTGTGACAACCATCTCCAGTTCTTTTTGCTTCTTATCCTACAACATTTGCGAGGATTTTACTTTCACATAATTTCTCTACTTTTTATGATAATGATGTAAATTGTTGCTATTCTCTTTATGAAATGTCATAAACAATTGTACAGTGTTGCTACTGTATTATTTTAATACTAGCAAGTAGGCCCGGCGTGGCTTGGCGAAAGTAACGATAGCAAAGATTAAGATTATGTTAGACTATAATATAACAATCTTAACCTTACTCATTTTCACAGAATGCAAAAATTAGGTCCTTCTCTTTTCGGACTAATTACAAAATTTTTACATGGGTCTAAAAATATGTTCGATTTTCCACAAAAAGAAATGAAAACTGCGTCTGCGTCTTGCACGTCGCTTTCTTATCACAATTCTATCGTTATGTAATACTTTCATTCTTCATACCTTCATTGTTACTTTACACTTCCATTGTTAATTGAAACTTCCATTCTTACTTAATCTTAATCTTATAAGTTTTCCAATAGTCGAAAAAGTTTTAGAATAGTCGAGGACCGTTATGTGTGAGTAGTGGGGATTGCTTTCAGAGACGTGTGACGCACATGCTTCAGTTGATTTTTCGTTAGTAAAATTGTATGAATAACAGAAAAAAGTAGAAAATGAAAAGTGAATAGTCAAGTGTGAAAAGTAAAAGTATAAAAAGCAATGCCGAAGTGTAACAAAGATTCATAGCTCAAAGGCAACGATCATAACATCGTTTCATAGCTCAAAGGCAAAAGATGGCGCGGAGAAATGAAACCATGGAAAAAAAACAAGTACATATAACATTGCTACGAAAGAATTATCAACGAAACAGAAATAGTCAGATAGAAAAGCGACTTGAAAATTATAAGGAAACACATCGAATCAAGAAAAGATTATGTAGAGGAAAAAACACAATCTTTTAATTATAATAAAACTATATCACATATAAATGTATGAACAAATAAAACTCAACAAAGCGGCTACTTCAGCTCGTTGAATATGAAATCTTAATCTCTACGACGAAATATTAATTTTTTATATATTTTTTCACTAATAGAGAGTTGGATTTACAACATTTTTTTCTTTAAGACGTCAGTTTCTTTTCTTCTCTTAAAACAACTTGGAATAGAAAATAAACAATAGAGGACGACAATGTATCAAACTTTAATATTGATTCTGTCTATTTTCATCTGCATCATTCTGTTATGGATAAGGTGAGTGACGTTACTTTTAACATTAGAAAAATAATATTGTTGGCATTTTACATTAATTATTTTTCTTATTCCACACTATATCTTACATGCATTATACATGAAAAAGTACATAAAATTCGTTATTTAAGTAAATATACGTAACGAGTAAATGTACTCATCTACTAAAATTAACATTAATTTATTATATAAGCCTATAAGTATTTTTGTAAATGAATTAGCTTAAATTAACTTAAGTGTATTTTATGTAAAGTAAGTCAGCAAATGTCAGCAAAGGAACTCTTGGATAAATGTGTCTTATATACCCGAGCTAATTTGAAATATTTTTGTAATTTTTAGTTATAAATATTACTAAAGATTTCCTACTGACAAAAATCCAAATCCAATGCAATGTCAAAAACACGTCTTCATTGTTCCAATACGTAACATTATAAGTCATTATACAAGAAAATAATAACGCGGTATAAATTACAATTAAATATATATTCGTATACCTTTGTAAGAATACTCTGAATTTGTGTTAAACAAAAATAAATAAATGTATATTTCCATTTTTGCTACATTTCCTGTAATTCAGACAGATTATTGTATAAGTTTAATGTAATCAATACGAAGAGTTAGAAAATGTATAACAATACGAATATTAGGTAAATAGTAATACAGCCCAGATAAAAAAAATACTTACATGGGCCAATTTATAAATATTTTGGTAGGTTTGCTTAGGAAATTTACAACGCAAGTACTTTTCACCTCTTACACTTGGCTACATTAGTTACAGAACAACAAATATATATTTAGACAAGAAATAGCTATACATCTTTCGTAAAAATATAAGCAAAGTTATCATAATTTATATTTTGTAATAACATCAGTATGACTTTCCATAATTTAAACAACACTAGATCAATTTTCACAGTAAAAATCCTAATTTAAATGATACCATTATATAAACTATTCAATAGACACGAAATGATAAAATCAACTGTAATAATTAGAAAATCACTCCGTGGTAAGTTGTTATATGTATTAACGTTTTTCTGATTATATTTGAAATCGATTTATAGTAAATAGTAATTTACGTAGTAATATAAAATTTTTATATCATATCATATCATTCTCTATAATTAATAAATGTCATTTAATAAAATACAACACAGCAATGTGATTCTATAAAACACAATTAATAATTCGTAAGATTTTTTATTGTAATATATCGTTTCAATTTATACAAATAAACAACGATATAAAGTTAAATTCAGTTTCTAGTAAACAGTAACATAGAATTAATTGAAATGCCTCAATGTCTTTTTTTTTCCTTACTAAAATGTAAAGTTTTGACTGCAAATTCGTATCTTCTATTATCAGGACTTATTATACTGGCTTTACAGATATGCTACAAAGTTTAACAGAAAAGAATTTTTATTTTATTTTATATACCTGGACACATACATAGTTTTGCGTTTCGGACATATTTGTCTCTCCTCAGCAGGTATTTTTGTATATTCTATAAACAATAAAACAAATATTTAAAATTTACATTTAAAATTTTCCAACAAAATTATTTAATAAAATTCTTACAATTTTCAGGTTTTTTTTTTTAATTTTTTAGCTCAACTGTTTATATTCGAATTTTACCAACAAAAACAATTACTATGATTTTAAACCTGCATTAAACCAAATTATATTAACATTATCTCATTTTTTGTTACATTTGTTTGCTATTGTTACAACTTACATTTGTTCTCGTTCCATTTGACTCACACCTCTTAAAAAGGAGATAAAAAGAACAATGGAAAGAAATGGAAACGAGGTGTAAGTCAAATGGAACAAGAACAAATGTAAGTTGTAATAATAGTAAACAAATGTAAAAAAAATGAGATAATCTTAATATAATTTGGTTTAATACAGGTTTAAAAACAAAGTAATTCTGTTTTTGTTGGTAAAATTTGAATATACAGTTGAGCTAAAAATAAAGGAAAACCGGAAAATTGTGAGATAATGTTAATATAATTTGTTTAATACAGGTCTAAGATCATAGTAATTCTGTTTTTGTTGATAAAATTTGAATATACAGTTGAGCTAAAAATAAAGGAAAACCGGAAAATTGTAAGAATTTTATTAAATAAGTTTGTTGGGAAATTTTAAATGTAAATTTTAAATATTTGTTTTATTGTTTATAGAATATAGAAAAATACCTGCTGAGGAGGGACAAACATGTCCGAAACGCAAAAGTATGTATATGTCCAGGTATATAAAATAAAATAAAAATTCTTTTCTGTTAAACTTCGTAGCATTATCTGTAAAGCCAGTATAATAAGTCCTGATAATAGAAGATACGAATTTATAGTCAAAACTTTACATTTTAGTAACACGTAATTCCTACAGACAGAGAAAACAAAGGATGTCATTGTTTAAACGTTACGGAATTCCAGGCCCAAAACCGAACTTTTTCTTCGGAAATTTAATTGAATTCAATAAAGAGGTAAGTATTTCTTCTATAAACGCAATGTAACGTAATAACGATCACTTGGCACAGTTCACTTCTTTACTTCACTTTTCGTTGATATGCGTTTACACACGTTTCGGGTCTCATTTGCCCTCTTCAATTAACTAAAATAGATAAAACCACTTTTACACACAACAACCCGACACATAAATCCAAAAAATACAGATATACAAATACATGACGTACCTTAAAAACATAAATGACATCCTTAGGTGTACATTACCACAAGCGTAAGCCATACGATATAGGTTGGATTGCCTAGTGTTTCAATTTAAGAAAAGTTTTTTCATCAAAAACCTACAGCTTAAAAACAAATTTATAAATTCCACACATGACATACGTCAAATACTAAGCCCAAGACTTGACTTAATCGTTGTTAATAACCGAATAACCGTTGGTACTGTACCAACAGTTATTAACATTAAAGAAGAAAGAACTGTCCTACACGTCTATTCCAGTTTTTCATTTACATCTCTGAAGGTCTCCTGGGAATGTGTATATAAAAATAAGTTAAGTATATAGTATAATATTTACGTACTATATACATTAATTATATTTTTTTGAATAAAATTTTATGAAATTTGAGGAATCTTCAAATTCAAAAAATCTGGTCGTGAAAGTCAAAGCTGTTATAAATAAGTCTTGTGTATACCAACTAAAGTTAAGTCCTGGGTTTAGTATTTGAGTTATGTCTTGTGTGGAATTTATAAATTTGTTTTTAAGCTGTAGGTTTTCGGCAAAAAACTTTTTCTCAAATTGTAACACTAGGCAATCCAATGTATATCGTATGGCTCCCGCTTATGGTAATATAAACCTAAGGATGGCATTTATGTTTTTAAGGTACGTCATGTGCTGTTTGTATATCTGTATATTTTGGATTTATGTGTCGAGTTGTTGTGTGTAAAAATGGGTTTATATATTTTAGTTAACTGAAGAGGGCAAATGAGGCCCGAAACGTGTGTAAACGTGTATCAACGAAAAGTGAAGTAAATAAGTGAATTGTGCCAAGTGAACGTTATTATGCTACATTGCGTTTATAGAACAAATAAAAAGAACGACACGGTTTCAAAATACGGTATAATGGAAGAGGTAAGTATTTTAACTTTCGGAATAAAGTAGCAAAAGAATATTTTAAACGTATAATATAATATTCAACTTTTCATGTAGAGAAACAGATGCACAGAAGAATGGCTAAAACGATATGGAAAAGTTTATGGGTAATTAATTTCATTTTTTTTAAATTATTAAATTCAATAAATTTGGTTTTGCATAAAAAACTTAATACAAATTATAATTAATTTAACTTATGTTTAGGTTTTATCTAGGAGGAAAACCATTTTTAGTATGCAATGACATTGAATTTTTGAAACTGATTCTAATAAAGGATACTTACAATTTTTGTAACAGAGATGTACGTATTCTGCTGTAATTTTCGCTAATTGCAGATTCCGAAAGCTTAAAATTTATTTATTACTTGTTTATTCATTTATTTCGGCAAAAGACGCTGTTGCCAAATTTTGGATTTCCACATGATCAGTGTAAAAATATGCTTCCAGTATTAGCCGATCAGAAATGGAAAAACCTAAGACGTATTCTCAATACTTGTTTCACTACAAGAAAAATTAAAATGGTATTATTTGACTTGAAAATATTAAACATATATGTCTTGAAATTGCAGAAAATTTTATATTTTAGATGAGTACTCTGATGTCTTCACCGATAAAAGTTTTTCAAGAAAACGTCGAGAAGCATGGAGATCAACCGTTTGATATTTCGGAGATGTGTAAAAAATTGTTGTTTGACATTGTCTGTACATCGGCATTTGGTGTATCCACAAATGTTCAAAATAATGAAACTAATAAATTTGTTAAATCGATAGAAACTGCGTTGTTTGCTGATTCAACTGATATTTTAGCTGGAATAACAAGTGATAATTCAACATTTTTTTACTAAATATTTAATAATAAAATAAAAAATAAGTAGTATTATGTAATTGTTTTTAATTTTTTCAATAATTTAGTTTGCTTTCCGGAAATAGGGCCAATATATACGTTTCTTCAACATAAAATAGATAGTTTAAAACACGTACTGAATCTACCTTGTTTAAAATTGATTTATGAAACCTGTCAAAAAATCGTCACCTCCAGGAAGAAATTACATGTGAGTTCATTGTAAATAGTTCAATATAAAATATTTTAATATTTACATAAATTTGTATGTCAGTCTCATCCACCAGATTTGCTGCAGACATTGATCGATGCGGAAGATGAGACTCTTGTAGAAATGAAAAAACTTCCAGATAATTTCGTTATTGCAAATGCGATGTTGTTTATGGTGGTTGCGTAATAATATTTATAAGTTTTCGTATGTTCCCTGTGAAATATCAAAAATTTAATGTCGAATATTTGCTCTTTTGTAGATATCAAACAACAAGTTCTACAATAAGATTGTGTATTAAGCATCTTACTAATAACCCTAGCATACAACAGAAAGTCCGTGAAGAAATAAGAAACAATATTTCCAGCAATGTAAAATTTCAGTTTTTATTTAAAATACGTATATATCTTAAAAATATAAAATATTAACTTATCTGTTAATTTTAAAGTATGAAAATCCGATATTTCGTATAATTATTAAGTATAATAATAATTAATAATATTAACATAACTTATCTGTAATGAACACTAATATAATCTTCATATCTGTAGTCTTTACAGAAAAAGCAAATAATAACAAGGTGTTATAACAAAACTCTCCTTTTAAAGAAACTTTGCCAAAAGTATAGTTTGCAATGATCTGATGCAAAGAATTAAAAATAAATTGCAGTGAAAATACAAACTTCAAAGATTTTTAAGAGTGATAAATTATAATTACTGAATTTTCATTAATTTTCAGGTGGACATCCAGTATTCTGATTTGATCAATTTTCAGTTGCTAGATCAAGTTATCTCTGAAACTCTTCGCCTTTCGCCATTTCCCATAGTGTAAAATTCATTATAAATTTATAATGTTAAATATAAAATATAATAAATATATAATCCGTTAATATTTTTATACGTAGAAGTGTTAATCGAGTGTGTGCAGAAGATTATCGTTATAAAAACATCACCATTCCAAAAGGTTGTACGATAGCTATTCCAATACAAGTTTTGCAAAATGATCCAGCTTATTGGATTGAACCTGATAAGTTTAATCCTTACAGGTAATATAGTAATTATAATTGGATTATTTTTATATCTGCTTTATTAACAAATTTTGAAATTGCAATTATAAAAAAATTTCGGTGATTTTAGATTTTCTTTTGAGGAACAGCAGAAAATTGATTCTGTCATTTACCAACCATTCGGAGCAGGGCAAAGAATTTGTATAGCACAGAGATTAGCAAAAACTATAATGAAATTAGTATTGGCAAATCTCATACGATCATTTAAATTAGAAGAATATAGAGACGATGTAAGCAATGGCAATATTTCTATTGTAAATATATTGCGTGAAAATACCTTACATTTAAATATGACGTTTTCTTCTTTCATAGAATACTTTCTGTTTCGTAATTAAAAGTTTTATGAAATTAAATTTGTAAATGTTTTCGTGAATTTTATTTTTAATACCTTTTATTTGTATATTTTTTGTCGCAAATAACTTGATTTTATTTACAGGAAAATAATAGAGAGCACACTCAATTATTCACTTATACAATCAATAGAATAATGGTGAAAGCAACTCCATCAGATACCTGATTGTCGACAATACTATACGTTTTCAATGTTAAACACAAATAATAATTAACAAAGTATGTAAATTTAATAACTTGAATAATAAAAATGAATGTTAGGAAAAATTGAATGCATAGTTGTGTTCAATTTGAAATAAATATTAAAAATTTATATTTAACGTTAATAAATAAAATAATTTTCTATTTCATTATAGTAGTTGAGTGTATGATCGATGAATTCTGAATTTTTAGGAAACTATTGTAATTTGTTTTTATGGTGCATTAAATACAGTAGACACCCTATAACGCTTACATACGTTTCACTTTATAAGAATTTTACGTTGTAGGAAACCTTAAATACGTGAGCCAATCACAGCCCGACAAGTGTGAAGTTTATGGACTAAGGCTGTTTGAAAGATTTTCTTTCATAAAATTAATGGATTCTAGACTAATTCGACTCAACATTTCCAATACACGTATAATTTTTTGGGAATAATCCGTATAAACTATGGTATAAACAAAAAATTGTAGGATTACTTACCGAGTGTGCATCGTTCGACTACGCCGTTGCTTACGCTCGCTTTCGTGGCAGAGCAGCGCACCAAACGGCGGCCGCGTTTTCTGATAAGTTATTTTTCTGCGAAAACTTCGTTGAACTTTGGAGACATCATTAATATAAATATTTTTTATGGCCGTTGAATAAGAAGTGTTTCTTTCACAAGAAATGTATAAAATTAGTGTTGTGTTAGACTTACGGTACCTAATTTACATACTGTACAGACGATAGTAAACTCAACTTACTCGCCTAAACTCTTCATAGCGTGGCGCTAGACAGAGGAATGTATTTCGGCTGCTCATCCACTATTGGTTCAGATTCGACCAATCATGTCGCGACACGAGTCGGCGACGACGTTTTACGAGTCCCTTTATACGAATACTGCCGCAATTTTATCGCTACGTTAGAGGAACCCACGTTATAAAGGGGTAGACTGTATATTAAGTACACCCATATTGTATAATTCTGTGAGAATGCGGACGCTATTTTTATTTTCACACTAACTGCGTAGTTAGCGAGGGTGACTTTCGTCGTCCGAAGGTCATATACGAGGGACCACGATGTCACGTGACCCCCATACGTCCGAGCGAATGGACGAAAAAAAAGTCTATATAAGGAGATAAGTTGCGGGAAATGGTAATAAATCAGGGAGAGATGTCAAAAGACGTCAACAAATTCCCAGATTTTTCCCATGCAGATCGGGTATATAAAAGGGTCGGATTTTCTACTCGGCGCGCTTAGCCGAGGAGCTAACGCCGAAGAAACCCCTCTGAACAGCTAAGGAAAAACGCACAGCGATCGTCGGGGAAAGAGAACGCAGTGGACTACTCTTCCAGTACCCTCAGAAGCTCATAATCGCCTCTCCATAACAAGGTAAAGACTTGAATATTTTTCTATTCTCTCCATATACGACGGAATTACTCCTCGAAGAGGTTAACAGAAGAAACCTCCGAGCGAACTTCACCTGGAAGAACTCTCTATGGATTAGGAGCGACGGAGCATACACTGCATCTGGACATAGCCGCACGACCTGAGAAGGACATCGCTCCACATAGCCTTCAAAGGACACCTCGGATTAGAAGACGACGATCACAGAGTGTTTTATCAACGCCCTATAATATGAGAACGTTGCCTTCGAGGTAAATCCTTGTCATAATTATCTCTCTCCAACGTAAGGTCTCTCTCGAATTTTAGCATTAGGTTAGGTTAGGATAGATTTTAGAATACCTATTTATATCTTGATACGCGAGTGTTATATTTATTATTTTTATGTATAATTTCTCATCTGTTTATTAAATGTGTTGTCTATTTTAAACCTGTGTAATCAATTGGACACCTGGTCACGACTTCCGACTCCTCCCCACTCATATTTTTAGCCCTCCTATGCCATCCGACAACCGAGAACGGGTCTTTCCAACCCGTGCAGATTAAGTGATGGTCATTGAGGTTTACCCAGTGGCCCTCTGCTACTCACAATTTATATAATACGTGAGTAGTGATTTGACACATACTGATCATTTTCACATTGCATAAATACATGTAAATACAATTTGAGTGTAAAACTTTTCAGTGTGATGAAGAGTTTTGCATTCAAGTTGATGGAATAGCATTAAAACCATGCATATGTCTTAGTCTTACAGAAATTGTCATAATTCCTATAGATGAAAAAATTAGAAACATAAAATTATATAAAATTTGAGAAAGAAAAGAATAATAGTATTAATTATTTGGATATAATTATCGAAAGAAAGAAAAATAAATTATCAATACAATACAAACAAAAATTGTTGAACCTATGCAAATACCTAAAGTTCTTAACCCTCGGTAAAGCGCGTTAATGATTCACGCACAGTTGTGCGCGCGGGGTTCTATATAACCCTCGTGTTCAAAATTCAATTTTTCAAAACTCATAGTTTTTTTCGCGATTTTTTCATTTTGGATGTTTGTGGGCATGTGTTTTTGATGTATTAGTGAAAAAAACTACTTCAAATATATCGATTTTATTTATTCGTAACGAAAAAACAGAAAGTCCCCGTTTTTAGAAATTTTTCAAAAAAAATTGGTCAACTTCAAGAGTGTATTTTACAAACTGTAAACAAGTCTGATGCTATCTAAGCTGTCAATCGTCTTCCTGCATGTGTTTTCTAACTATTGCAACAATTAAATTTTTTGTACGAAGCCCCGGGCCAAAAATATCTCAATATTTCCAAAAAAACACCATGTGAAATCACACAGCAAGTAGAGGTTAAAATGGAGATTATTGGCAGATAACATCTATAGTAAACTTCTTTTGCACTGTAATTGGTTAATTTATATGTCTGTTATTAGATCGACCTATAAAAACAATTGCTGGAAATATTCCCGCGAAATGCCACGCCCCCGAAGGCCACCACACGGAAGTATGTAAACAATCGCTACAAAATCG